GCGGGTTTTCTCCGTGTTCAGATCCATTCTTGGAATGCCAACGTTTCGTGAACCTTGCAGTTCACTTCATCAGGGCGAGGAGCAGCCTGATACTGAAGTGAACTGCAAGGTTCACGAAACGTTGGCATTCCAAGAATGGATCTGAACACGGAGAAAACCCGCGAAACGCAAGATTGTCACATAGGTAACACCCGTGAAAGCCTCAAGAATAATATGTGTGTGTCTATACATCTATTACAAACATATTGTATAAATGTTATGTAGTATTGATATTGCTCTTACGGCTTGTTGCTTTTTTTATGCCGCTTTTCGAGATGAATCCATATTCAGGCGGTGTACCAGGCTGTAAAATATTGTCGACCTTTTCGGAAGTTGCGTGTTGCTGATATTTTTGGAAATTAATCTTTTTATCTATATCTCCTCTGCGAATCTGCGTCAGCGCCGAAAAACTAGTGTCAAATTCTATCGGCGATACATTGTGTGTCGGTGTACTCAAAGATCTTAGACTCCTTCCTGTGGGTGGTTGAACTTTTCGATAATATGGATCCTCTGTGTCGCTATCTACTGGAGCCCATTTGGGTCGAATTCTGCTTGAATCTACATCGCTCTCGTAATCAGATTCTCGAAATTGTCCTTGTACAAATTTTTTCGGTTTAGGCACATAGTAATTAGCTCTTTGCTGTTCCTGGACAGTTGTGGCATTTGTGTCGCCAAACTTGATAAAGCGACTTGTTTGCTCAACAGTAACGACCCTTCTAGAATTCTCCGTTGATTCGTCCATCCTTACGGTTTTTTTTGTCTCTGTACCCATCGCATTGGTAAACGGCATGCTTGTATGTGCCTCATAAAATTGTTGTTGCGGCTGAGGTGGTGCATACGCGATTTCTGGTGGGGAGCCAGGTAGAAGAACCGTTTTCGGTTTTGTTGGTACAATTATTGTATGTTGTTTGTGAGATGAACTTGATTCCATTGGTTTTCCTATATGAAAAGTTTGTCCGTGTGATCTTCTTCAAACCTTTTCTGACCGCTCGAGAAAAGAGCATAGTAACAAAGGAAGATAGAGTAGTAGCGGCCGGTTTCACACGTCGAACAGATCTTATTAAAGCCAGAGAATAAAATTTAATAAATTTCGATCTTGATATATTTTCCATATTACTTTCATAAATTAAATATTAATGATATGTCGGACTTTTCTCGATCTTGAAACGATGAAACCGGTTATAACTAGATAGTGGAGGGCATGCTCCATGAAAAATAAATTCATTATGCAAAAATAAGCTGTTATAAAAGAGACGAAACTTAATAATCACTTCTAACTAAAAGAAATAGCATGCAAGATAAGTTAGATAAGAAAACTTGTGCTTGGATAAAGCTCGTAAAAAACTATACATTATAGTTGAAAAATAAAAACGAAACATTTGTTTGTTAAGGATTTAGTTTCTAATTATTTTCTATTTAAAATACGTAAAATTATAATGTAATTTGGAGTATAAAGCAATGGTCTAATTGTGATTATAAAACAGTGGTTATATATGTGTGGTGTTATATATATTTGTTACTATCGTCAAAAATATCGTTGTCTTTTTTATATCATTTTTTTTCTGTATCACTTATTATAGTTATAACAGAGCGGTTTGTATTGTAATATGTCACATTTTAACATAAATAAATATATATAATTATTTATGTTTATATATATATAAAGATACAGAAAAAAAATGATATAAAAAAGACAACGATATTTTTGACGATAGTAACAAATATATATAACACCACACATATATAACCACTGTTTTATAATCACAATTAGACCATTGCTTTATACTCCAAATTACATTATAATTTTACGTATTTTAAATAGAAAATAATTAGAAACTAAATCCTTAACAAACAACGTTAGATTTTCTCATTTGTAATCTCAAAAAACTAACAAAATCTAAAAATGACTCACTGTGTCTGATACTGACTGGCCAACATATCAAGAACCGGTTTTTGAATTATTAATAGTAATGTTTGCGATACGGTGCTTTGTGATCATGGTGAGCATCCTTATTTTTGGGATAATTAATTATAATTTTAAAGTTTTTTGATAAATTAGTGTGTGTGTGTGTGTGTATGTGTGTGTGTATGTGTGTGTTCCATTTTCTCTATTTCGATATTTCCAATATTTCCTTTCTTTTTTCTTTTTCTTTCATTCTTATTTAATTTCTGGCATTTATATTCTCAATGTAGGGGAGTTCACCATGACAAGATAACTTTTATGCATTATATATATGTTAGTTTGTGTTGTCTCTGAAGAAGGCCGAAAAAGTGCCGTCAAAAGTAAACCGAAACATGTAATGCGCGTTTAGTAGAATAAAGAAGTTTTACGCTTTATGGGTGTATTATTTGCGCGACGTCTTCTGCGCTTGACTCCTATTGCCTACGTTTTCTTTTGATTTATAAGGAGTCTTTGTTAGTTTGATTTGTTATACGGAATTAATAAAGTATTTCAATTTAAATGTTAATTTCAGTAAGTAGTACCTGAATCGGTAACATTAAATTTCGTGGAGCCAACTGTATGGCATGACAATATTCTACCATCATCACTCTCGTAGTCGCTCTCGCGGAAGTCACCCTTCACTAATTTCGAAGGACTCGGAGAAATCGACAGAATTTTTTCTGTTGGTAACAATTTTCTATGTAATTGGTTTAGAGAATATCCCGTTTCCTGTAAATAACATTTTTTTAAGATTTCTGATTTAATGTACTTATACATAGCACTTATACAAAAAACACAAATGACATACATATATTTATTAGTACTACATAATCTGACAGTTAATGTATTAAAATCTACAAAATATTTCATGATATTTATTAATTCATTTCTTAAGCAAGCATTAAAAAATAACATTTGAAATGGCACACGGACATCAAATCTCGAACCTTCATGGATTCGAATCTATGCAGACTACTGCTGTCAGTTGCTGATTCGTAGCTCTTTTCTAACGAACTACGTTGTTGTTGAACAGCTTTGGGAGCCGCTTGTGCACTACAAATAGATGGCAAGACGAAGGAAGATTCTTCTTTTTGCAAATGATCAGTTTTGTAACAATGACTTTCAAAGGATTTCGTTCTACTCTCAGTACATGTAATATGACTCTCAGTGTGAACTGTTGTTGAGGATCCGTCATGTTTTCCAAGAAATTTTTGCGTAGTCACAGATGAAGCCTTCTGCTGAAATGGCTCATCAGTATCTGCCATATAACCACTTTCTTGCTGAAAAATTTTTACTTTAAACTTTGGTGATTCCGGTTTTTTGACAGGAGATTTTGGCACCAAACTCTTTGTACTTGGCTGTACATAAATTGGTGGAGAACCAGGTTTCAAAGGAATTGAGCTTTGCTGTTGTTGTTGCTTGACTTCTCTTTCATGTCGTTTAAATATTATTTTTCTTACTGCTTTTTCGGAAGGTTCTGTGGTAATGAGTGATGATGGTCTTGTAAATTGTGCAGGAGTCTCAAATTTGGAAGGCGGAAGTGGCTCAGGTTCAGTGGACCTTGGCCTCGTCGGCTGTTTCGGAACAGGTGCTTTAACTCTTCGATAATGTGGTTCTTCGTTGTCGCTCTCATAAGGTCTCCATTTTGCTTTTGGACGACTATCAAAATCGGACTCGTAATCACTTTCATGACTAAAGGAACCCTTAACAAATTTTGACAGAAGTGGTGTTGAAAGTTTGACAGGTTTTTTGGCTGGAACAGACGGTGGTGTAATGCGTACATCTTTTGGTGGAAGTATGGGTGGTTCCTTTACTCTTTCTTCTACTGTCGTGGTATGCTCCAATCTAGTTTTTTCTTTTGCAAAAGATGGTGATATATATCCAATTTCCGGAGGAGATCCTGGCTTAATAGCGATAGAGTCTATTTCTGTCTCTATAACACGATGCGGTGGCGGAAGCGATTTCGTGGCTGGTTCGACTCTCTTTACCAAACTAGGTGCTTTCAACTCTTTGTCTTCTATCCAACGTTTCGAGCTGAAATCTTCTGGTTTCTTTGTCGTTTCAGCTTTTTTTATGTTACATTCAGTAATGTACTTTTCAAACAAAGCTTTCTCTTGTACAGTATTTATAGTATGATCGACCTTAATTGTCTCAGCATTATAGATTATCGGACCTAATTTCGTAGGCGGAGATGCTTCAGTTATTTTTTCAGTGAACTTTTCTTTGGTACACCATGACTGTTTCTCTACGGCAGACGATTCCGTACTAATTTTCTTTATTGTGCCTTGCGGTATTTCCTCAATTTTCTGCTGAAATTCTTTCGAAGAGCTTTTGTATTCTTCAATAGGAACATTCCATTCATATTTTTGAATAGGTTTAGTTTGTGATGGCCATGATTTTCTGTTTGACTCTACACATTTTTTCGCCCAGGATTTTTCCATCGCCAATGCATCCGCAGATGGTTTTGGCGATGTAGATCTCAAAATTTCTTGCTGACTAGAAGCAGCTGAATGACATCTGTATTCTGATAGATCTGTAGACACGTGCGATTTGGTTTCCACATCTGATGATGATGACCACGGTCTAATAGGAGAAATACTTCTCAATATAGACGTTGAAGCGTATTTCCATGGTTCCATCTTTTCTTCTTTAAAATATTTGCTTTCCTTCTTCTCGTACGCATCTTTCTTTTGTATGCATGTTTCTTCAAATGTTTCTTTTTTCTCGAGTTCAAAGGGCGGTGGTATCGTAATTGCGAAGACAGGTTCCGCAGCTTTGACAGGTTCTATTACTTTTGAAGTAGACATAGGAAAGATCTTTACGCCTCCGATTGGAGCATCTATTGGAGATAATGTTTTATCAAAAGATTCTTGAAGCTGTTTTGCCTTAACAAATACATCAGGTCGTTTTTTTTTCTCTTCTGGTTTTGGCATATAGCATATCTCGGGAGGTGGTTCTGGCACAAGATCAAAATTTTTCATCATTTTAGAATTCTCCGTCTGATTTTGTAGTTGTGAAATGGACGAATCGAAAAATATCTTTTCCTCTACAGTTTTTTTTACCTCCATTGAGGGCAACATAGAACTCTCATATGGAAATTCAAATAGTTTATTTTCCACTCCGCGAGATGATGATCCTTGTTCTAATTTAGTAAAAATGTCCTGAGCGGTCTTCTTTATTGTTTGTAAGTCTGATGATCTTATCTCCGGTTTCTTTGTTTCCTGATAAATAGTTGCTTGCTCATAATTCTTTGTTAATTTTCCAACTTTCGCTTCTTGAATTTGTCCTTCTTCTGTCAGCTTAATCATTTCCTTTGGCCCTTTTGGCATTATCTCACTTTCCTTCGTAATGGACTCGAAGAAACTCAATGCATCTTTTTTTACAATCGTAGAAGTTTCTATGTTTTCGTTATTAATCGTTGATTTTTCCTCTGTTTTTATTAATGGCTTCGTAACATTTTCCTTGTCACGGTCGATTTTCTTTGTTGTGATCGTTTGCTCGATTCGAGGTTTGGACTCCACAATAGATGGAGTTTTATGTTCAAGTTTCATATGGAACTTCTGTTCTGACTTCGTTTCGGTTTCATGAGATTCGATTATAGATGAAACCGTTTCCGATTTACTAGTTTTTATTTCTGGTTCGGTGATCTTTTGCACAGTATCAATTGTAGTCAATGTCGTAATAGGCTTGGATAATTCGATTAACGCTGTTGTTGGTATCTGTTCGCTCGTTAAAGTACCTGATGATATCTCTTCTTTTTTCCCTTCGGACTAAATGTAAGTATATAATTTTAGAAATGTTTAGAAACAGTAAATATTACTGATTCAGAACATTAAATTTTATTCCATTGCTTTATGTTATTATAATAGAAATATTATATAGCTTGCTTATATTAAAGATAAGTTACCTGAATGACATTTTTATCCTGGATGTTTTCATAAATGACAGTTTTATGTACCTCGACCATAGTATCAGGCTTTGGTTCGAAAATCGCGATATCAGCGATACTCTGCGCCTCGCCACCGGCATTTGTTGCTCTTACCATGTATTTGCCAGCATCTTCTTCTTTGGCTGTTTTATATATAATACAACAGATTAATAAAATAAATTCTTAAAATATTTATAATTATTAATTATAAAGTGAGAGAACAGTTAATAAAAACTTATTCAACTATATGATGAGAATCTGTGGATAAAAATATATACCCTTGTCAATAACCAACGTGTAACAATTTCCTTGTTGAATAATTTTTAATTTTTGTGGTTGTTCGTTGATTAGAACATCGTTTTTATACCAATTAACTATTGGCTCAGGAATACCAGTAATTTCTACTTCCATAATAATACGATCTCCTTTTTTTGCTACTTGAGCTTTGAGGCGCTTGCCGAAAACCGGGGGAAATATTGTTTCTAAAATTATACGGTAAATTCATTAAGCAGTGAATTCTTATACATAGTATAAATTTTATGTACAATCTTCCTTGATTAATTTATATATGTATGTCACTTACTTTTAACGACCAAGTCAGCCGTGCTACTAGCACTTCCAACGTCATTGCTCACTGTACAGGTATATCGTCCAGCATCTTTTGCATTGACATTTTTCAGATCCAATTTTACATGATTATGAACATAACTAATTTTTATGTTATCCTTTAATATCAACTCTTGACCGTTTTTCGACCACAGAATCGTTGGTTGTGGAAAACCTAAAATAAATTAAAAATAGCCGAAATAATGAATATTTGAAAAATATTGAAAAAATTCCAGTTTTTTTTCAATATATATATATTTTTTTTTTTTCAAATATAAATTATATGATTTAAATATAATGTGAAGCGCACTTACCATCAATGGTACCTTCAAGAACTACATCAGTTCCTTGGTCAACAATTATTCCTGTAATCGGTGAAATGAATCTTGGTGCTATCAATTTCCTAGATGGTCTTTGAATTTGATTTGTTTTAACATCATGTTTTACACCTTCCGTTTCTTCGCACACGAGAATGGTCTTCTTTTGTTCCATCTCGCCAGGTTGCTTTTGTACAATTTTTTCATACTCCTCGATTTTGTGAGACTAGAGATAGTATTTTTCATTGAGCGATACAATGTTTATATGTGATCAATATTTGGTATAAAAATTCTCTAACAAGGGAACGGTCAGAACTGTCCCTCACCGATTTTGATGCGCTTTGGATATGTTGTAGAACATCAAAAAATATTCGACCCATATTTTTTTATAGCGGCTTATCAAGATGATAGTCGTGTTATATACAAACGCCACGCATGTTATCATCTCGTTTTCTGAAATATTGAATCGTGGAACCATAACATTATTATACATGAATGGATTTGGTATCCTATGTGCTCTTTAATTTTTGTTCTTAAAAATTTTTTTAATTTTGCAACTCTGATAAGTGGGGGTGGGGGTTAATTGAAAAATTTGATTTAAAAAAAAATGAATACACTATTATATACATCATAAAATATTGTAAAACCATTGTATAAACCATTTTTTTATACGCGGCATAGTTTCGAAGATATTTGCTGAAAACGAAAAAATCCATTTTCTTCAAGGGGATGTTTCACCCCCTAAACCTCGAGATAAGCCGCTATAAAAAAATATGGGTCGAATATTTTTTGATGTTCTACAACATATCCAAAGCGCATCAAAATCGGTGAGGGACAGTACTTCCCTTGTAAGTCCGAAAAATCAGTTTGGCGTGCAGTTCAAATGATTACATAATATAGTATATAAATTCACATGGAAATATCTAAGCACTTAAAATCTATAGTAGCTTTGACCGTTATAAGCTTTGTCTCTTACTTGTTGTGTATTTACATTATACGGTCTTAATAAATCGTTTATTAACAAATATATTTACCTGTACGACAGGTGGTGCTCCGTTTTCTGAGGTGGATTGTTCAGAACTTTGCATAGTTGTTTTCGTACAAACGCTGGTAGGTTCGTGTCCAGATTGTGATAAAGTGGAAGTCATAGTTGACGATAAGAATTCCTTTTTCATGGACGTTGTTGAAGAATGTGTAACAGTCGACGACATTTTGGTCAGTACCTGACTCTCACCACCACCTTCGTGATATGTTTTTTCACTTAAAAAGTGTTTATCGCTACTGCTTGCAGGATGCATAATGTCCGTAGGAGAATATGGAACTAACTCGAACACCTTTTTTACTTCACTTGCATCCGGTTTCACTGATTCACTATCTGGAAGTTAATCCAGTTATGCCAATAAAATGCTTACATTCTTCTGATGTATGGCTAACAATGAAACACACTTTGAAAAATATAGAGGCCATATTTCAATTTATAATTATGAAAAAATAAAAAGCAATACATTTTGTTTATTTCTCTAAACTAAAAAGGATGATTAATTTTTTTATAAACCAGCATTAATATCAATATTATTATAATTGTAATTCATTTCTGTGTTTCTGTTTTATTCTATCTGATTATTTATGTAAGTAATGATTGTCAAATTTCATAAAATAAATAAAAAGAAATTACATTATGTGAGAATCATTTTCACGTAATTATATCAAATTATATTTTATTTTAATTAATACAATATACGCTCTCTTTGTAAATATAAGATATAAAGAAGTCACAAGAATACTGGAGCGTACCGATCGCGCGGTTGAAATGCTCCCAGCGAAGTAACGAAATACTTTGCCTCCGATCTACGACAGAAATAGTATCGTTCACCTAGTAATAGGTGATTCGAGCACTCGGCTGCAATATATAACCCAAGACCCAATTTATCGTTGTCATTCTATACTTTAATGATGCACATGTATATTATACTCGATATCTGACGTGCAAAATCATTTTAGACCTTTTTGTACTTATAGCTTAATGTTCTTTTTATTTATTAAAAAAATATAAATCGTTTATTATTCTTTTTATTTATTTATTTATTTATTAGAAATAAATAAGAAATTCTAAGATCATATATTATTTGATTTTTAAAAATCTTTTTATTTTTGAATGTATAATAAATGGTTGAATAAAATATTTTGATTCTTTATTGATATAAACTAATATATTCAAATATTTAATAACTAGATTTAGTTTTGTATCGACAATCTTATAATTATAAAAATGATAAATACACGTATCGAAAATTATTAAAACAGAATATTAAATGATACTGTTACGAAAATGTATTTTTCAGGACACCAGACTGTGCCGATTATTCGATAAAAATAACATGGTTTCTGTATAAAATGAAAGAAGAGAGGGAAAAAAAAAGAGAGAGAGAGAGAGAAGGGAGAGGGGAAAAATGACTGAAGAAAAGAGAATGACTCGTTTGTGAAATACTCTTAAAATTTTTTATGAAAAATATGATTTTAGAATCTTTATCGATTTTTATATTAATTAAAATTAATGTTTTGCGTGCACACATATGAGAAAGAGAGAGAGAGAGAGAGAAGTTCATGTTGTATATGTCGTTTATATTCAGGTCATGCTATAAATGCAATATATAAACGTAGTATGAATCATATTCAACAATGATAGCATCTAATTCAAAGCATAAATGAAGTTATTAAATTTCAAAATACGCAATTAGTATGCTCACATGTATCTTTGTTCGATTCTCTCATTGAATGGCTATTTTATCTATCGTTGACTGGGAATTTTGAATGAGCCCCATTGGACTGGGTAACATGAGTATTAATAACTTGTGACATCGTTGCATTTTCTAATATTATTTTCAGCATTTTACGAAACGAAATAAAAGAATTAAAAATAAAAACTTATGTTACCATAATATTGTAAAATGAGTCGTTAATAAAAAGAGCAAATAAAATACAAAGTAAAAATATGTGTATAATATTAGCTTACCAATTTCGACTTTAGCACTACAAACCGCTCTACCAGCCGCGTTCTCTGCTACGCAAGAGATGGTACCAACGTGTGCATCTCTGACTACAGGAATTGTTAAAACTTGTCGATCTCCGCTAACGGAAACCAGAAAATCTTTCCCATGAACCGGCTGCTCATTGAACAACCACTGAATCTGTAAAAAAATGTTTTAATAATAAAATATATAGTAATAAATTTGTTAATTAATCCGTTGAAGAAGCAATGGACACGTATACACGTGTATCAAGAAAAAATATATGAGTGCCTGTGTGTGCTTCCGTTATATCCGATAATTTTGAGAAGATGAGAAAGATGTTAACGAAGTACCTCTGTGACAAGGTTTCCACGGTGCTTCGCACCGCATCGAAAGTTCCATCTTATGCTCCGCGGCACGACTGCAATCGAGCTTTTCACATGAAGTATATTGTTCGCGTTTAAATATAACTCGTCGGGCACAAAATTACTTTCGCCCCGTTCTGACAGGCCTGCCAACCTCTCATTTAGACGTTGTTTACGTGACCAATGCAAATTTTAAAACTTTCAAAATTCACAAATCAATCTTGCTTACAATTAATTATTATCTGATTCTAGATAATGCTTGAGACGATTTTACGAAACAAACACGTATGACATAATATGGTATTCTATTAAGTTTTCTTCTCTATAATGTTTGATATTGCTTATATTATAATTTATTACTTATTTTATTACTTATTAGGATCAAATTAAAAATTGCATTATTCTTAATATTAATAAAACTATAATATTTGACTCTCTTTTCTTTTTAATAAATAAAACACTATTCCGGATTGAAAACACTATGTATTTTAAATCCAAACATATAGTGTTTTGTTTATGAAAAATATTTAAAACTAAAACATCTTTAAATGTTTAAAAAATGGAGACAAGAACAAAACATTTTTTAATTTTAATATCTTAAAATTAAACACTTCTTTTTTTCAATGTATATAATAATACTTATAAAGTTTATTTTATCAACAACGAGTAAAATAATGTTACCGTTATGTATATACATATATACAAATTCTATGAGTTAACAAAAGTTTTAAGTCCACTAATTTTTTCATCCCTATTAGGATGTCAGTGTAGCTGACTTTTAAAAAGGATATAATGATTTGTTTCATTACACACAAAAACATGAAAAGTATGTAATGTTTGAAAAAATTTATATTGCGTAAATAAAAAAAAAAAATTAATTTACCTACCTTAGGAGAAGGTTTACCAATGACGATGCACTCGAATTTGGTTGAAACTCCTTCGAGTATTTTCCTGTCCTGAAATGTTTCTTTGAATGTTGGCTGAATCAATTTTTCTTCCATCTGAATAAATTCTTCGTTTCTTTTAAAGTCACCAAGCGATTTCACAACTAATCTGGCAAAAGCTTTGGCTTCACCGTGTGTATTTATAGCTTTTGCCACATAATTGCCCTTATCTTTCGGTATCGTTGATGAAATTTCCAAAAAGGCAGTTCCATCTTTCCTTTCTCCAATCTATTATATATTATGTCAATTTGACCATATATTATAGTATCCATAATATTGACCATATATAGTAGTATACCATATATCACGTATTTAAGTACACGTTAAATAAAGTGTAATCTGTCTCTAATATACAAACACTCACCAAAATCCTTCCGTTATGAATCATTTCACCATCATCCGAATACCATCTTAAATCAGGTTTAGGTTCTCCAATTACGACACATTCAAAAATTGCATTTTCGCTTTCAGCCACCAGCAAATCCGTCGGAAGTTTAACGAATTTTGGAGCAAAACCGCTGGCAAGAGTTTCTTCCTGTTTCTTTGAGACGTGAGATGCTGCTACAAATGCAAGAAAAAGTATTATGTATAAAATAATAATTTTTTCATTAAAAGGGTATAATTATACGTACGCGTAATTGTTAATGTACACTGACTAGAAGCTTCACCAGCAGAATTAATAGCAACTACTTTATATATACCAGCGTCATCCAAAAAAGCTTCATGAATAACTAACGAACACCGATCACCTTGAAAGAGTAATTGAAAGTCTGATGACTCTTTTACGGGCTGTTCATCGTGATACCAAATTACCTAGAAAGTTACAAAATTAAAAAAATGGTAAAAAAGTAAATTATAAAATGAAAGATTTAAAAATAAATAAAGTTTACCTCCGGTTCAGGTTGACCTACAATCACGCAGTCTAGCCTAGCTGATCGTCCTTCTTGAATTTCAAGATTTTGCAAAGGTAACTGAAATTTTAGGACTATTGGTTTTATATCGCTGCAAACAAGCTCAGATTCACTGGTTTCATGAGGCAAATGTCCTTTCACAGAAACAGTACAAGATGTGGTGGTTTTCCCGATTTCATTACTGGCAATCACCGCGTAAGATCCGGCATCCTTCGGAAAAGCTTCCGTAATGATCAAACTTGTTCGAGCACCGTCTATTTGAATCTGAATAAACACGCAAATGATTACATTATATGATTGTATTATATTAAATACATTAAAACATCACCGCTTATCTTACTTTATGATATTCGCTTTCTTCAATTAATTTTTCATCGTGAGTCCAGATTAATTTAGGAATTGGATCTCCGTTAGCTTCGCATTCTAATTTCACTTTTTGGCCTGTTCTGACCATAGCATTTGATAACGGTACTACGAAATATGGTTTCTTTGCAGAAATTTGCGCGGCTAAAATTAATATTCATATAAATAAAAAGAAAATATACATTTTTTTAGTGCGTCAGTACCAATGTTATTATTACGAGACTTACGTTTCACGTTCAAATAGGCGATAGTAGACGATTGTCCCCATTGATTTGCTGCTTTACACGTATACGAAGCTTTGTCTTCCAAGAAAACTTCATCAAACTTCAGAACAGCTTCTCCATTATTAAAAGTGATAATATAGTCCGGAGAATTATCAATGTTGGTATCATTTTTGTACCATTGTACTGTCGGTAGAGGATTTCCTTTAACAGTGCACTCTAATTTATGAGAGCATCCTTCCATCGCAAAAGAGGGCTGCAATTCTTTCACGAAAACGGGAACATTTGGCTGTTCTTCTGTGATAATTTCTACATTAAAAGTTTTTAATATGAACAATTAAGTATTAATGTACGTACTAGTAGTTAATAAAATTCGCACGTAAATCAACTTACCTTTGACAGTGAGAGTGGCCGATGTTTCGACAGAGCCATGAATATTAAATGCACGGCAAGTGAATTTGGCAGAATCCTCAGTAAATGTTTCTTCTATTTTTAAAATACAAACGCCTTTTGTATAAGTTGTTAAATAGTCTGGATTATTTAAAATCGATATTCCATCCTTGTACCATACTACTTCTGGTATCGGCTGACCAATTAGACGACATTCAAAACTGAATTCTTTGCCTTCTTGAACCGTCGCATCATTCAAAGGAACTGTGAATTCTGGAGTTAATGAAACAATTTTGTTTATTTCTGTTTCTTTAGCATATTGGTGTAATTTGTCGCATATTTCTTCAGATACAAGCTTTCTTGGTGGACTAATTTCCTTTTGAATAACTGGAACATCTTTCTCAACTTCCATCTATAATGATTATAAGTATAAATTTTACAGTTATAGTATTAATAATTTAAATCTACTTTTAAAATACCTTTTGAAGAATATGAATTTCTTTCGTTGTTACAGCGGAAGTTTTATGAATTGTTTCTTCAACTATGGTTTCATCAGTTTGGGCGGAGACGGAATGAGAGAGGGAAGGAACAATTTTTCGTGCTTGTTCCTCTTTTAATTTTTTTGCCTCTATCGCAGCTTTATCTAAAGTCTCAGCGGCAAGTTGTTCCGCAAGTTTTTTCGCGTTTTCCGCTTCCATCTTTGCAGCTTCTATCGCGGCCATTTCTATTTTAACAGCTTGTAACTTTTTGTCAGCTTCTAACTTCTCGATTTGCAGCTTCTCTCGGAGATCTTCGGCATTCTGTAAATTTTGACTCAGGGTACGCAACTCGGAAGAAATAACTGCGAATGAATCTAGCATTTGCCGATTCTCTACTATCACTTCGTTAAATTGCGGAAGTCTGTCTGTACCTAAAACATTATGTACAACATTGCAAACAGATCATTTTCCATATTTATTTTATTCGTTTGACGTATACTTTTTCTTAAATATAATGCCACTTTTACCGAAAACTATTGTCGATAATTGTTTATAAGCATCAATCTCTTGCAGTAAATCAATGGCTTCTTCAGGCACTTTTACGGTTGTTGCTTTACGAGCAATAATTACCAGAAGTTTGTTACCTTCTCTGAACCACTGTTTGGCTTCTTCTAAGAGCACGAAATAGTCGTTACTTAAATGCATTCTCTTTTTGGTATCTCTAACATGTTTCCTCAAATGATTCCATCTGTTGCGCAGAGATAAAATTTCATCCGTCACTTGTGGAGTTAATGGAACAATTGTCTCTTCTGTTTTTTTTACAAAAGTTTCAATTCTTTCGTCTAAAATCTAGTAACAAATACATAAATAAATATTACAACCTTCTTATAATCTCTTCATAATTACCGTAATAATGTAATTTACCGTTATTGTTTGCTCAAACTGTTCAAAAGCAGTTAATGTCGCTTTCAAAACTGATAAATTGTCACCAATTCTTCCATCCATATTTTTTAACTGTTCGTTTAATTCACGTAGATCATAATTAATTTTTTCGATATCCTCTCTAAAAATACATAAATGCCGATGTTCTTCGAGACGGTTTGACGTTTCGGTTTGGAGTAACTCGAACTTGACGCACACAGAATCTATCGTGCGATTCAGTTTCTCAATGTCTTGTATTGCTGATTCTAACGGTTCCTGTAGTCTAATGTTGCCAATTATTTCTCCAGATTTTGTACGTATTTGTAGTAAAGATTCCGTAACAAACGTTTTTAATATGTTAAGTTTATTTAAAGAATCATCCACATCAATCAACTTTTTAAAACTTGAAGCGCGTTCAACTTCTTGTTTTGCTTCCTCAATTTTACGCTCAATCTTAAAAATGATGAATGAAGAATACATATTTCAAGGATGAAGTTTACATATTTCAAGACATATGTATAAATTAAATGACGTTGCATTGCATTTAATATCTATCTTACCTCTTCAAGATTCCTAAAGATAAAAATTAAAGATTCTAGTAATATGTTGTAATCTTTGATGATAGTGTTCACTTTTTCACGCATTTGCACGAGTTTTTCTAAAATTTGCTCGGTTGCTTTAGTTTCACCTAATTAAATTAATTATTTTAATTAAATATGACTTTTTAAATACAACATATGATATAAATACGATACTTAAAAAGGAGTGCGATGGGAATCAGGAAAATAGTCGCGGAAAATAATGCGCAATGCTAATAAAAAAATGATATATATATTTTAATTATAACGACATGAACGTTACATCGCAATTTATTACGGTGGAGGTGTGATGGCCCCAATCGTTTATGGAATGAGTTTTTTTAATGATTTGTTTTGATTTTATTTTTGGAGTATATTGCAAAAATTGTTCTTTGCATTATAACGCAAGATACACACAATTACTGCCAACCAGTCTTGCAACTGTATTCGGCTACATTTTTAAGAGTTTGGAGACTTTCTTCTATTTGTGGGCCACAGCGGTCAATTCTATATAAGTAAAGATGCTGATCATTGCGATTTTTATTGTAGTATTTTGTTAGCTGAGGATCAATAATGAAATCGAAACGTACGCTTGCTCTTTCCCGCGACTTAATATTCATGTTGTTGTAATTAAAAATATTTTTCATTAGTATTTTTATTAGCATTTTTTATTAGCATTTTGTGCATTGTTTTTTATGTTGACTTTTACTGCCCTTCTTTTTGTGTATTTTGTTTTGAATTTCGAGAGTTTGTTTATCTTTGTGAATTTTAACATAAATATGTTTTGGTTACCTCTTTCAACAAATACTTGAATGCTTTTGATTTTGATATCCAATTCATGAAGAGCTTTATTTAACTTAGATGAAATCCGAATTCTTACATCTTGCAAATTATCCAAAATATCAACTATTCTAGAAGATCGTGTTGTTATTACTGGATATGGTGTCATCTCAAATTTTGTTATCCACGCTAATGTCTAGAATAAATCAATAATAATAAAAATTAGCAAAAGAGATAATAAATGGTACTTTTACAAATACTTTTCTATCGAGTTTTTTTTCTAGTCTTATTTTAAATAAATAAATAAATAAAAACAAATTAAAAATAGATTCTACAAATAAACTAAATCTAAGATAAGAAGGCATAGTAAAAAAGATGACAACATAAATTAGAAATCATACCTCTTTACTTTCTTCTACTTTTTGTTCACATTCCATTCGCCTTTGTCTTATTATTTGGACAGTAATCTGCCATTTTTTCCTACATTCTGTCATAATCAATTGCCAATTGGCAAACTTTTCTAAAAGAGTTTGAACACACAGACAAGCTTGCGATACGTTGAGATAAAAGTCATCAATCTACCAAGAAAGAATATCAATACAATTTTTGAAAGGATATGGATATATCTTTCTCTTACAATATATATAATAACATTAGATTTTCTTATTAAAATTAAAAAATTAAAGATTATGAGTTGCTTACGTTATTTGTTTCATTGAGAAATGTCTTTGCATGATTATCAAGTTTTTTGTAAAGAGACTCAAAAGATTTCCATCTTTCTTCTAGTTCATTAAACCTAGCCTCATCTAACACATCTTCATACTTTTTCAATTCGTTATCGATAAAATCCATTTCATAAGTCAGTTCTTCCACAATTTCATAGAACTGTATATAAATGGTACTCAATTCGATTCTTTTTACTACTGTAATCTTTATTTTTGTCCATTCGTCTTCAAAATTTTTTATTTTTAATTCGTATTTCTGTATTTCGTTCAGGCGTTCTTTGATTGGAAGAATTTCCAACTCTAAACGATCTACCTCTTCACTTTTATTTTCCAATTCGGCTAGTAATTGACAATGAATTTGACGAAAATCACACGCCATTGCCAAATCGCTACCCATATTTTGATGCTTTTGAAGAAAGATTTTAACGATATCAGTTAGCCAAGTTTGTAAAGTATTATGCTTATCTAAAAATGTAGCAAGTATTCTTGAAATCTCTAAATTTTCTTCTTTATGAGCTGAACACCGTTCCATCAAAGAAAATTTGCGATTTTCCAATTTTTCTACAGTATTTCTTATACCCTGTAAACATGATACACACACACACACACACACACACACATATATATATATATATACACACACTGCCGTCGAAAAGTTTCCGGACATGGAACTTAAAATTGTATAATATTCAGGTCACCGTAATTCGATAAAAAAATCATTGCAGACAAAAAAATAAAAAGCATGCTAAAGTATAAGTTTCAAGCTTTAAAATGCTGTTTTATTTTTTTGTCTGCAATGATTTTTTTATCGAATTACGGTGACCTGAATATTATGTTCATTTTTAAGTTCCATGTCCGGAAACTTTTCGACGGCAGTGTATATATTTGATGTTAATGCATATTACTCAACTGCTATATTACTCTATCTATAAATAAAATATCACAACAAATAACAAAGATTACGTCAATAATGCAATAAAAAATTAATAAACAGATGATTTATAAAATTAGTAATATATATATATAGAATGTTCAAAAAACCATTCAGCCTTTATATGGTAGATAGTACACCATATGCTAAGTAAAAAAGTCTCAGTGAATATAAATTAAAAGCTCAATCATTTTTGAGATATAAACAATTTTGTTAATATCATAACTAACTTATTGTCTTTTCTACGTGTTTTGCATACAATGTAAAAAGATAGAAATTGAGATAAGTAGCATTGATAACATATTTGGAAGAATTTATACAGGTTCAATAAGGTGATTTCCCATAATGCCTATCTAATCGTAATGATTCGTTGATGTCAACTTATCAATTCACGGAGAAATTTTTAATTATAAAGCAATATATGGAAATTAAATGAGAACATTCAGAATGCGGTTTGTAAATACTAAGGTAAATCTTCAGCATATGACATATAGAAGCTAATAAGTCAATTATGATAATTGTTTATGTCTTAGAAACGGTTGAGTTTTCGACTTATATATTCACTAAAATTTTTTTACTTGGTATGTGTACTATCTATTATATAAGAATGCTAAATATTTTTTTAACACCCTGTTATATATTAGTGCGATATAACCATCTTAGCTTATATCAGCATATAATCTCATTGATAGTTTCGCATAATAATAAATACAATTAATTATTCGATTGATCTGACCTCGGCACCAGATGCTTCTCTTCCCGTGATGTCTAATAATGCATATCCTTCTGACAATGGCTTTGAAATTACATCTTCTATCATAGTCTCTATCTGTGCATGAAGACGTGCAAGTCGTGCAGAATAAGGAGGATGTTTCGTTGTTATTAACTGAATTTCCAGCTGGTCCAGTTTTGTGACAGCCTAATGCATTGATTAATATTAGCAATCAAGTTTAAATATCACCCGCAAAATTTTCTCTCTTAGATAGATTTTTATTAAAACTACTATCATGCATACAAAATGCGACTCATATTCAGACTCTTATTGAATGGTCTCTAGTTACAGTAGCTCGTTTTTTATGCGGATGAATATAGATATAAGTGATTTAATTGAATTATAAAACGTTATATTATTTCACTGATTAATCCACTATAGATAATTAGAAACTTAGAAACACTCACCGATTGTGCCAAATTGAAAAAAGCCATTGTTCTATTCAACAACATGTTATATTGATCTAAATCGTTAATATAATCGGTAGCGGTGCTAAGAATCGCAAACGCCTGTTCGGTCGCTTGTTCGCCTGCAAAATGTCCCGATGACACTAATCGTTCGGTCGATTTAGTTATTTTAATAGCTTTATCTTGAAACTCCTAGAAAGCAAAGAGTTTTTCTTTTAAAAGAGCGCATTACTCTGTATAGTTTTATATACATATATATTATATATATATATCGAAGATCACACAGGACAATAAAATATATTTAATTATATTTGACGATATTAGTTGAATTGATTTTTGTTCGGATACCTTTGCTTCGACTTGCAACTTTTTTAATTCAAAAAGAAGCAGTTCTACATTAGATACAGAATCTCCCAATTGATTGCAACTGCCCTCTAATGCAGCGATTCTGTCATTGAGAATTTCTTCGAGATTACGAAGATCAGTCGCGAGCAGCGCGAGAGCAAGACATTGCTCCAATTGAGTTTTTCTGCTACGAAAAGTTGTCTCAATCAACCGCCTTCTATCGTGTAGTTCTTCCAGCCATTTTTCAACTCGTAATACGGCTAATGAAATATGATATTTCTTTTATCATATAAATTTTAATTTTATGACACCGATCTAGCTAAATAGATAAGCAAATAATTAATTATAGATACTGAATAGACATTTGACATACCATGATTAGCTTCATCTTTAATCGTATCCGACCTAGAATCTAAAGTGCCTTCGTTTACCAATTCCTTAAGTCCATCCAGCAATGTCTTACCCTCCCGTAATGCACCCATCAATCCTTCCAACATATCTTTGCGAAGATCCTGAATCTTTGATAGAAAACTTTTTACTGCTTCTATCTCGATCGGTAGTAACGTGTTGTTACATGCCATTTCCAACGCCTTCATACGTTCTCTACATTCTGCCGCGCGACTATAAAAAAATGCGATCTATTTTGTTAAATAATTAATTCAAAGCACGAATATATTATTAATTAATTACACTTTGCTGTACCATTGAAATAATACGTTTCGGTCAAGTATTTTCTTACGACGTTCTAAAAGTTGATTTATATCGCGCCATGCCTGACCTAATGTTTCTGCCATGGCAGTGTATACTTCTGCTCTTGGTTTCTGGGTTGTGATTAATTGATCAGCTTGTCGCAATAATTCTTCCACCGGGCTTTGTTTATTCTGATTATGGCAAAGTTTTAATTAACGGAAACCTTTAGCACTTCTATTTAATTATATTTAATATAAACTTTTACACAATCGAAATTTATTTTAATACGTTTAACTTTACCTGTAATCGAAGTAACACTTGATCGTGTGCGTTCGAAAGTTCCATGGCTTCTTTTACGGAAGCACCAAGTTTCGTTAATTCTGGTTGTAGCTCGAGTATTTTCAGCTTCAGCCATTCGCCGCTCTGAACAGAAACGATAATAAGTGTGTAATGATAAACCATCACAGATCTTCCGAGTCTTCCGACAGTATAAACGACATGGTACAGATAAACTGAATATTATTAAATACGCATTCTCCGTTGAATGATCATTTTCGCAATTACCAGAATATTGTATTCATTATTTTAAATAATAAATGTAGATTATAATAAATAACAAAGATCTCCAAAAAATGTTCGCTTGCTTATGCCGCAATATAAAGATTATTTTAACTCTCAAATAAATTTTGGAATTATCTAGCAGCCACGTATATAATGTCGAAAATCATATTCAGAAGAGAAATCTTTTTCTTCTAGCATTATTAAAAAGAAGAGATAGAAAGTAAAAAACGAGTGTAGACAGAAATCGGCCCTCCAGAGTTCATCAACCTCTGAGGTTGAGCCGCAGAAAGAAGCAAGATATGTTTCCATTTTCATCTTTGGCATACTGCCGAATAACTACGTTTGGATTGACCAATTCTCTCTTCTGGTATATGTATATATTGCTACTTGAGCGATAAAATTATTTCTTTTTTTTTTTAAGGTATGCTAGCGAAAAGAGATATATTATTTTATGATCATCTTTTTAAATTTAAGATATCGTAATATCTGACGAAATTTGCAAATACTCAATGTATTATTTATTAAAAACACACACTTGAGAAATATATTACATTATATTATAAGAAAAAAAGATATCATTTGTGATTTATGGATTAAAGTAAAAGATTATACCAGTAAAATAAAAATAATTGTATTAATTATATTAATTGTTTCATTTTCTTAAGTGTTATTTGTGGGAAATTATTCAAATTATCTCTCTGATATCACAACATGCAATAGTATTAGATAAATTCTCATGCTTGACGATGTTAGTAATTGCATTGTAAAGATATGTTTATGCGTGTCTAAGAATCTCTATTGAACATTTTCCTTCTTGTTTCGGATAAAGTACTATTGTTAGATTATAAATATGATATAGATGAAAAGGTACGATAAAAAAAGGAAGAATCATGTCACTTGTCCACCACTGAGCCGGGCTAGGTTGGGCCCAGGCTGCCTCGAGTCGTCTCGTATACACGCGCGCGCGCGTGTGTGGCATGTATGTGTGCGTGTGCGTGTGTATATAATACCGGTTTGTTAGATTATACGAAAGTGTGCAGATCCATGCTACGAGAGATCTCTCTTATTTCGATACGAGTTTATCGATTATCCAATCTACTTATAAATTAATTTTGGAGGATCTGTTATATAGTTTAGTGTAATTTGAATTAATAATTTATATTTAGGATAAGAATTTATATGCATAAATAGTTTTTTCTTCTTTCAAACTGCATGAAATTAGGTATATATTAATTTTAAGCATAAAAAAGTATTTGTTTTATTTTCCGACCTTCTTCTCTTGATAAAATATTTGAGGTAATAAAAATTTAAACTTATAATTAACAATAAAACACTTAAAATGTAACTTGCATGGATTGTGCAATAATGTTTCTAAATACTTCGGAATCCAACGTAATGTACATAAGATGGGTTTATCTGATCATGGTGGTGTGTAATGGGAGTTACTGTACCTAGTGGTTAAATTTATCCTTCGTAGAGTTTCGGGAGACTCGTTTTGCTCAGCGGATACCTAAAACGCTTACAGTTTCGAGAGGATTCGGAAATAGCTATAGACCGGAGCAACTGAATCCCAAAATATCTACACCATAGTGTCATACATGAAATTGCAATGAAAAATTATTCTTTACTAAGAATTATTTGAATGAAACGATCCATATCTAATATTTTATATTTTCGCAAAGATTTTCAAATAATGTTTTTCAAAACTTCTAAATAAAATAAAATGAGTTGCGTTGATAGAACAAAACAATAATAATAAAAAATATAAATTAGAGTATAGATTAAAATGCAATACATGTTTCTTACTTGAAGTAAAGCGATTACTACACGCGTTTCTCCACTTTGCACAGCTATGGTACTTATAGTAGTAGTTGGGGAGATGATTTGTTGTGGCGTATCCTCATCTCTTTGCATGACAATTTCAGAATTTGTCTCAACAGATCTTTCGGGATGCATGTGTGCCATCGAGTCAGGACCATCCACCATCATCGTTTTAATTTTATCTTGCATGTGATAATTAAAATGTTTCAAATCTGTGTTAGCAGAATGACAACGGACAATTATAGTCGCGACATAATTTCATCATGAAATACTCACTCGATATTTATATATGCTACGAATTGAGCAATAGTTGACAATATAGCTGCTGAAAATTAAAATAGTGTTACGCGACGTTATACTGATATGATATGTTTGAGCCGAACATACACAGTGATTTCAATGCCTGGTGCTAAATATATTACAGTGACGTATGTCGATCTAAAACGCGGCACAATAAACATTTAGCTCATAGATATTCTCAAAGATTTTACAGATAAAAAATATATTAACATGTTTTCAAGTTGGCTTAATTGTCTTTCCTGATTGACTCTATTTTTGACACTTTGCCAAAGCTGCTAGTACGAAAATTCCGTGAATGTAAAACTGAAGATGATTGTGTGTCTGTGATGTAAATAAACAAACCAAAGATATAACTGACAAAAGTTTTTTTCGTAACTTAATATTTTTTCAATGTTGTCTTATCTTTTTAATTTGTACTAATTTCTTAAAACGAAAATATAAAAGAAATACAAGTTTTCATCAAAGTTAGGATATTTCTTCTATGCGAAAAGGAATAATAATTTGTTAATTTACAGTCACGATAAATTGAAAATGTATACTCGCATACGATAATATCTGTGTTTTCTCTTTTTGATATAACATATTAATACTTTATGTAGATATCTTTGTGTGTGCGATGACGTCATCTGCAGAGACGAACAAATGGTAGAATAAAACCGGACTGACTGGTAGCGCTCTTTCAACTTCAACAAGTACGGTGAAAATCATGTGTAACCGGAGATGATCCGATAGAAATATCAATATTACAAAAAGTTTTTTATATATTTCTTTATTGGATAAGTTTATGATTTCTCCCGTTACATCGAAGCACCGTTCAATTATTTGCAAATAATTTGATCGACTCTTTATATCTTAAAAAAATTTTCCAATTAACAAATATATATATATATAACCGGCAATTATATAGTATAAATTTGCGCATTTCGACATTTAATGCATAATTATGAATTTTTTGTTTATTTTTTATAATTTAAAAAATTAACAGGCTTTTGTTCTCTTATGTAGTAAATTTTTAAATTAAAAAGACGGAAAAAACTTTGCTTTATTTCATCTCTCTTAATAAGCGGATTCATGGTTTTTGACATTTTAATTTGATATACAAGCACCAAGTTATATTTTTCGTATGAAATGTTGTTTAGCATAATTTTTACATGACACGATATAACAATCACCTAAATTCGATTTGCGTTTAAACGGTATTGTTCGTAAGAATGACGACAACAACGGCAGTAACACTTGCGTGATACATGTCACGCGTGTATCACATCACCAACCGATCGGTTGCAGTAACCAGCCGAACCAAGACTGAACCGACAGAGCGCAGTACGGCCTCCGGCCAGTCCGGACTCCGGTTAGCCTCCGGCCGGCTGCCTCCCGCTCACCTTCGTTGCGCTCGTCGAGCACGGTCTACAAAGCAAGGTTGCGCGGGGCAACAGCTTTCGGAAGTGAAATTGTCAGTCGTAAATGAAAAATGTCTTTAGATGTAATAAGTGATCACTCAATATATTTTAAATTGAATTTTATTATATTAAAAATTATCACATACAATTTCTTTTAAACGTCATTTATTTACACAAATAACAAATGCGTCATGCGATACACACTAAAAATTCATGACAGCATATATTATATTAAAGTTTTATTTGCAATAAAGTTACAAACAGCGAAGCATAACAAATGCATAACAACGCATTTAACAATTCTTAATTCTTTTAATCTGTCGATTCTATATGCCAGATACATGTGATATTTTCAACGTGAAACATATTCATACATATAAACGTCTGTTTCTTTAATCAATCAAAATCGTAAGACCTATATATGCTGGTAATATTTGTTTTTATCAAATTTTTTATATAAAATTTATCTTCATCAAAGCTGCAAATAATTTTTGGTTGTAAAAGTTAGATAATCATTGTTGTATTTAATGCACTAATAAAGGAAAACTTAAAAACATGTAAACGAATAAGAATTGTTCTAAACATATACCAACAGCCAGCACATTAAAATGTGACAAACAAAAAATTTGATACAAAGGGATCAATCAAACGTCGGTCAAAGATAATAGCTTCGTCACCAAAATTGCAAACTCACCTTTCTTGTTTTTTCAAGAAAATCTTCACCTTCTAAATTATCATCTTGCTTCATAGATGATATTTTAATTTCGCTATCCTCATTATGTCGTAAAAGATTTTGCGAAGACAACGGTATATCCTCATATTCTCTTAAATCAGAGCACGTGCTCTCATCCAACACATGTTCTCGAATTTTCGTTGCAATATTTTGATCCGATTGCACTTTTTTCGAACTTTTGCCAATATTATTTTTAGGTTCTTCTGCTAAAAAGAATTTAGTTATAAAAGAGTGACTATAATAATAAGAGTTCAATATTTTTCATTGCTATATATAAATATATTATTATATTATAGTGTACAAGGAATTATTAAAATTATAAAATACTAACTGAACGACGGTAAATCGAGATGATGGTGAATGTCATCCGTTTTTTCGCGCGATTCTGCTTCTAGCACACCTTCCGCATTTTGAATATCTTTCACGTCGATATATTGTCGATGATCTTGCACGGTATTTGATATCACTTTATAAGAGGCTATACCTAATCGAATGTCGTGTAAGACGCGCAAAATGGTTGTCTCGGTAACTTCTTTTATAATTTTGTTTGACTTTTCCTACGTAAACAAATCATAACTCGTAATACTTTAAAAGTGTAATAATTAAATAATAAATGTAATAATTACGCTGCTTGATACGATATTCAATGAAAATTTAAGTAATTGAAGTAAAGAACTTAAAAAAGTATACATATGTTACATATATAAATTTTTCCCTTCGAGAATTAGTTTACTAACTAAATTATATTGTATAACATTATACATACATTAGTAATTTTATCCATTGTTTTCATTCGTATTGTTGGATTTACTCCGCTGATAATTGAAATATTTGATGTTGTTTCAGGAAATTTCTCATTTTCATTGGTCGGAGAAGAAGTAAGAGGTGCAATTGTAGTTATTAGTTTAGGCTTTTCCATGGTCCACCTTTAAATGTTTGCAATTTTCTGAGTCGATGAAAGATTTTGTTGCAGTATATTAAAAATGAATGCATTTTATTGATTTTAATTGATATTTATAATTTTATCTAGTAACTAAAAGTAATTAAAATTCATATAAATACCAAGTGGAACCAGAATATGTCACCACGGGTGCAATGATAGAAAGATCTTCGCATTCCGGCGATGTTACGAAAGATTCACTTCTCGAACGCGGAGGTGGAGTCGTTGAACATTCAGTCGCTGTTGTATAACCCTCCACATTGTATTCTCCTATTGCACTTTCGCTACGAGAATTTTCGATAAGTTCCTACAAAAATTAAAAGATACAAATATATTTTAGGAATGTTTTAAAATGTTTTTCTAAGAGAGAAAAGGAAGAGAAATATTTATAAATCAATACTAAAACATGTTAATATATACCTTAGAATTAAAATCTTTATTTGATATTTCGACATTCTCCATGGATTGTGGACGAATATGAAATGAGCTATCATCAAATTTTTCCGCCGTAGGAGTAATAGATTTAATTACATCAGATTTGATTCTTGTAGCAATCGTTTCTGAAGTTATTGGATGCGTTTCAGCAATTACAGACACGGCTGAAGCTGTCATACTCGACGTCAATGTAGTCGTGTTAGAAGCCGTATGCATGGATTCGCTTGACGGCGACATAGCAGATATTGAGAGCAAGGACGAAGCAGAGGACGTCACAGTGGCAGGAATAGACATCGGTCGAGTTCTAGCTCCAGCTTCACATAGTCTCGCATCTAGTTTTTCCGCGAGACGCGTAACTTCCGCTAATTTCGCCGAGATAGCTTCGACTGCTGTCAAATTATCACCAAAGGTTGAAGCATCCTCGACTTTAGACATCCTAGAAAAGCGAATTTGTTGGTCAAATTAATACTCTATTAATAGATGCTTTTATTCTGGATTTTAAAAATCTTTGAATATTATCTTAGTATCCATTTGTTAGTGAATTCTGTAAGCTTTGTACGATATTATTACTTTTTGTTGTTTCATGTTAATGTTACTTTCGTAATTTCGTTATAGTTACGTGTAAAATAATAATTAAAAAAACATTAAATATATTGATACCACACTGTTAAATCGTATTCATGTTAGTTTCAATATTGGTTTTTTTCCAGATGAAAAAAAATGTTAGATCAGTTACGTAATTAATAGTTGACAGTGCATTGACAGTACATTGCGTCGTCGCATGGTCTCTGCAATTTGGGGCAAAGTTCTAATTTCGTAGCTCACGTTTGCTTTATGAAGCGCCATAATTGATTTCCATATTAAATCCTTAAGAATCTTAAAGATAGATTTATTGAAAAAATTTTTAAATTAAGTTTCCGAACGTTATGATTTTTTTATAGAGTGCTTGTTCTTTTTTTTATTACTAAGATAAATGTATCAAAAATAATCTTCGTGATGTGTGCAATACAGTAGATGATTCTTCATGATGCAAACTAGTTCACCAAAATATTATTGAAACGAGATTCGCGTTACCAGTTGAGTTTTAAGTTACGACGTCATCGTGGAACGAAGCCAAAGAAGTGTGAACCATGATATTTTATTATTTATGAACATTCTAACAATTTTTTATAATGTGATTATTTAATGTTAAAAGTATCAACAAAATTTATAAAGTAATCTTATTATAAAGTGCAGATTTAGAAGGATTGCCGAATGATATTTTTATGAAAGAATTTCGTTGACGTTTATCTGCCACACGGATTAAACACAAAACTGATAAAAATTACAATATATGTAGAATGGAAAATAATCTGTATTTAAGTTGAATCAAGCGTTATGAAATGTCAATTATCTTATTGCAGCTCACTTACATGCACCGTTTCTAAATTATAGAAGCTATCTCGACGAGAGCCAGCCATAGACTGATACACACTGTCTCCAATAAACACGCAAACGTTCCACCAAGCGTATTACATTACATTTACTAATTGTAGTTTATAGAAATAGGAAAGAGAAATTTTAAACAATTCTTATTTTGATTTATGTTATTATTAAAACATTTTTATAGAATTAGTTTTACTTTATAATTTTCATTTTTTTAATAGTTATGCTATATCTTTTATTTGTAATTGTGTAATTCAAATCATATTAATCTCTAAAAGACGTGATATCTTAAAATTAATGTAGAAATTTATTAGTAATTATGTTAATGCAAAGCGATTCTTCATTATACTTACGGTTGACTATAAAGAGGTTCTTTCAACCTCGTCTTAAGGAGACGACCCAATCTTACCATCCGACCAACTTCCAATAAAAGTGTCTCTCGATTGTCAAGGATATCTCTTATACTTTCTTTGATACGTGCTTTTACTGCTGCATCTTCATCTTTTACAGAATGATACAGAGCCATCACTGTTTCCGCCAAATTTTGTAATCTGGTACAATGCTTTAAATAAATTCATTTAAAATATAGAAAAGACAGACACATACAGTAGATAATGCATAAAATAATAATTCTTTTGTCCTAAAATATTAAAAGAATAGAATATTTAAGCAACTTTTGAATTTACATATTAAATTATATTAATTTACGTTCATACATCTTCGACGTTTCTATGAAAAACAGCGCATACTCGTAGCCTGGTTAATTGTTCCTGACTAATAGATCGGAACTGTCGCCAAGCTTGTCGTAATTTTGAAGATAGATTAGCATTACCCTCTAGAGATATTCTGCAAGATAATCTCAGTACACGTGCTCCATTCACCAATTGACCACCATATTCGTAAGTTCCCTGTAAATATTTATCTCATTATGTTTATGTACTTGACAATTCTCCAAAAAGTGGAACAGAACAACTCTATTATTTCAAAACAATTTTTCAAAGGGCATACACCACTACGCAAGATCTTAGAAGCGAATAATATAGATTTATTAATTTTAACAAATTTGTGCATAAATCTATATTATTCGCTTCTAAGATCTTGCGTAGTGGTGTATGCCCTTTAAAAGATTGTTTTGAAATTTTAGCCACTTATTTTTATTGATTGTTAACTCTATTATTGCTTTTGTTTTATTTTATAAAAATAATTTGTAACAGTAATCACGCTTTACTTTTGCTGTTTCCTGAAAAGATTGATGTTCCTCTTTCTGCAATTGTATTTCCTTGACATTACAACCAACTTCCATGTGATTTCGAAGTAAAACATTGAATAAATCATTTAACCACTTAACAGCCTGGAAAGTACAATAGAGACGCATAGATTTATTATGTTCTTTTGCACGCATTAAAATATTTTTATATTATACATATCTTCCGTACTTGTTCGGCATCGCTCTCGTACATGTATATCAAAGCTATCTGTTTCAGTGACAACTTTTGTAATTCTACGCTGTCATTAAATATATTCTTTCTGGCATTTGTCGCATCTAGTATATCTTTGACATTGACGATATCTTCATCGTAATTTACATAAACTTCTCGACCAAGTGCATCCTTTACGGGCATAGAGAGAATGTCCGACAATTTTTCGCCTTCTTTTACAAGCTCGCGTTCTAAACTGTCTGAAAAATTATTTAAACGTGAAACTGAACAAATATTAATATAACTAATGAGTCACTTTTACCTAAAACCGTTTGACTTTTTTCCAAAGTTAAGAGTTTAATGCTTGCTTGAGAGAAGTTGTAATTCCTATTGCCCATGACTAATTGTTCGAATACTTCACTTGTCTTATCGAAGTACTGTAATATTATAATAAATAGCAAAAAAACCACTTCCAATTGCTAATAACTAGATCGTTAAAAATTTGATTTCTACCTCAGAAACAAGTCTAAAGAATCTTTGCGAAGTGATTAATACATTTCTACGTCTTTCAAGTCGTGAAGCGAAGCTACGACAAACAAAGTCCATGAAATCTCTTTGAGATTTTAAATCTTCTGGTAGTTTACTTTTAGGTAGGCTATCAATTTTATGAAGCAGCTCTGCGTATCGCCCATAGGTCTCCTATAAACGCATTAGTATTATATATTCCATGTAATACCTTTTAAAACAAAATAAATTTTTTAAACTAAATGAAAATTATAAAGTTTTACTCATTTACCCGACATTGAAGCTCAATTTTTTCGTGCTGCCTTCGGAGCTCCTCGGATGAAGAAACGTCGAAGCCAACCTGACAACAGGAGTTCAGCATTACGTCAGCTGGACCCAAGATCCAGTCAGTAACGCTTGATACACCCTGTTCCAGATTTTCAATTACTCTGACAGTATCCAGATTTCGTTCCATTTCTGTCCACGAATTTTCAATGTCCATCTGCAAACGATGAAATAACATTGTATTAAAACATTGTATTAAATACATGTAAAATAAATTTAAATACGCCAGTTGTAAATGTGATTAAATAACCTGCTTTAATTCGATAGAATCGAGTAATTTGTGAATTCCTTTAATGGTATCCAAAATATCCTTAGCGGACTCTCTACTCATAGAACTTACTAAATTCCTACCTAAATAAATGAAATTTAACTTTTTCCATAATTATTTTTACATAAGGGACACCATTGTTTAAAATAAATTATTAAATTTTTATTAGCATATCAGTTACAAACTATATACAACCTTTTTTTATTTATTTCTTAATTATTCACATATAATATATTTTTAATCTCATAAAAAAATCGAATAAATAAAAATGCATAAACCTGATTGAAGTATATGACGTGCCGTTGATAACAATTCTATGCCCATTTCCCAATAAGACTCTACATCATCCGATTGCATTATACGAATACCATCAAAAGTATTCAATCTTTGATGTAAATTTGTCATCTTCGATACAAGCTCTAATGCATCTTTTGAATAATTTTCTATTTTCTAAGAAAAAATAAATATCAAGCTGTTAAGAAATTAACATTTGCATTTAATTTGTACGTGAATAAAAATGTTTAATTTACCATACGTTTCTTAATCCATTCGATGTGATTGTACGCCTTGTTACCTGCTAATTCGTACGGTAATTGAGAAAAATCGATATACACATGCAGCCTCATTAGAGTAACGTATATTGGCTAAAACAATTGACAAAAATAAAAGAAAATTAAAGCTATTACGCCCTTATACAATAGTAATACGCACAATTAATATATTTTTAAAATTTAGCCCAAACCGAAAAGACATTTTTCCTACTTACAATTAGTTGTTATTCACATATCGGTTTAATGTCTCTTATTGTTGTAATATATTTCTATTAAATTGTTTTACTCACTTCGCCTTCTTTGTGCGACTTGGTACAACTGTCGACACGTTTATCCCAAAAACCATCCGGCCGTATCACGATCACAGAAACGACTTTAGATCCTATAAGATTCGTAGAGAGTCTAATACAAGATCTAGTTACGCGCCATGCACTATGACGCGCGTCTACAATTAGAACCAATCCATTTTCCTTCGTCTCATCGCTACGTAATTAATCACCAATAAATATTAAATCACTTATATGTATAAATTTACTATACACATGTATATTATATATATTTTTAAATGTGTACATCAGTTAATGAAATATCGAAAACATTCTATACCTGAAAATTGATATAAAATATAAAATGAGGAACTCTAATTTTGACTTCGTTGCTGAATCAAATTCTGGTGGAACATTTATTACTATTAAAGGTCGTCCATCGTGATCACGACCACCTGGGATATATGCAAGCTTTGATTCTAAATCCTCTAGAATATCCGCTGCTTTCAAGTTTTTCATAGGCATCTCCATAACTGCTTGTTAAAAAGAATCGTCTTACTATATAATTAGATAGTAAGTTTTAAATAATAAAATAAAATTGCTAAACATATTTTTTAGACTTAATGTTTTATGCATCAACGTTTTAATTATAATTATAATCGATATATATATATATATCGATTCTAATTATGATATATATATATATATGTATAAAATAGTCCTCACCGGTTTAATATAACAATGTCCACGCTGAACCATATCGAAAAATTCGGAAATACTTGAAAGATATTATAAAGAAACATTATACATGCAGTACACGATGTAATATATACTTGGTATACATCGCGGAAATATGGAATATCAGCGAGCAGCTGTTTCAACTCCAGACGTTATATCCGTATGTCCCCACGTGAGCAACAAGCAAACTGTCGTACCTCGTTGACTTGAGTCTGTCGCACGTGCTCTGCGTTAGTGACAGAAGAAAAATTTTTACATTCGTGTAGATGCATGCACGTGTATTTATGTGAAATGTGCACGAGCACAATGCACGATAGCTGTAGTGTGAAGCTGCAGCTGCAATGGAGGCTGCAGGAAAACCGAAAGCCATCTCTGGTCCATTCAGATACAACGGTACTTTGGCACCGATTAACCGTGTGTTCCCCTTCCTTTATGCATGGTTCTTCTCTTCCTTTCATCTCTCTATCTCTCTGGAACTGCATTTTTCAACTCCTTATCTTCCTGGAGCAGAAATATGCAGAAATATTTTAAGTAAGGAATAACAGAAATTACAGAGAAGTAATGCAAAAATATTTATGCCACAAAGATTTTACATGATTCTTGGGCGTACATAGAATTAATAGATATCTCAAATCACTTTATAATCATGCAAATTTAATTATTTACGAGCAGAATGCTTTTATTACTATTTCTAGTACAGTAGGAAGGAACATTTGAAAGAGTTCAACAGTCATTATTTCGACGAATGGAAATCTGAATTATTTCAGAAAGAAAAATTTTTGAACATTTATAGTATGATAATATTGATAATATCAGTATGTTATATAATAATTTAATTACAAAACACATTGAATGAATTATCTTTAATAATGTAAATGCAAATAATTTAAAGATTTATTAGTTAATATATTACTAATTAATACGTTTAATGTAGTAATACATTAAACAAAAAATATAACAAAGAAAGAGACATGTGTTTAAGGAAAAATTATGATTATACAATTCTACAATAATATTCTAAATTAACATTTTTCGTAAAAGATCTCCAAAATAATTACTCAAAAAAATTTTTAAATGAAAGATTTGTAGCAATTTATATAACAAGAGACAAGTTTATTTTAAACCACCCGATTATTTAGGCAACTATATGGTATGTTTCTTCAAGTAAATAGTTTACAACATTTTTTATTATTTAATAATTTGGTGAGGAAGATATTGATATTTTTTTATGTAAGTTCACGTATTTAGTCCTAATGTATAGCAATATATGATCTCATTATAAAATTCGAAGGAAGAGTGAAGAAAATAAGACTTATATTAATAAAAGAGTCAATATAATATATATTACGCATAATAACTGTAAACTTTGAATACAAATTTTAACATAAATATCTTACACATCAAGCATTACACAACATTTCTTTCTGATCAAACTCTTAATCCAATAATATAATCAAACGATACGTTTTTTTATTATTGTGAAGATATATATTGATAGAAATATATACAGAAATATGCACGGAGTACAAACACCAGTGAGACAAAGATAGATGTCGAGAAAAGCTGAAGAGATTTGGCGTCGCTACAGTCGTCGACCACGGGAAAGTTCGCCAGTGCTCCATCGAGCCTCGTGCTATATCAAGCATACTTGCTATCTTTTTCTCACTCTTTTTAGCCATCTCTCTCTCTCTCTCTTTCTCTCTTTCTCTCTTTTTTTCTACCCCTCTTTCATCTAAGTTGGCCATCATCAGTATCATTTTGCTCTTTGATCATTCTTTAGATAGTACTGTAAATGTGATACTTTTGACATTTTGGTATGTGAGAACGATCGGAAAATTAACGGGGTAATCGTCGAGCGAAGCTCGACAAGAAGGAGAAGGAAGAGGAAATACGATGGGCAACGCTACCACGAAAGATTATTCAAGAAGTATTTCCGTTGGCACTAGCTCGAAGAAAACGCGTTGGGATAATCCAGGTAAATTAGTTTATTGTTTTAGCCTTTTAATGCCATAACTCTTAATAATTTTGAAAATTGGAACATTATTGAGAGCCAAGAATTTACTAAAAAAGAAATAATCGCTATCTAATTTAATGCAATATAAGTTATATTTTGAAATACATCATCGTAAAGATTTTCTCCTTGTTCTCTTTTTTTCTATCTTTCCTGTCATAACGTTTATAACAACAAAATTATTATTTACGTAATTTTAAAAGTAATAAATGTTTTGATTACTTCCGAAAGATATCATTTTTACCTATCTTCTTAAATATATATAAATTATCTTTTTTTATATTATAATTACACTTAATAATAGTAAAAATGTTAATAATAAATTAATTTCTAATATGTCGTACAATTTGTAATTTATATAATAAATACATTATTATAACTATAATGTATTCTGTCAAGATTTATTTATTTATTGTAAATGCTGTCGGTACTTATTTTTTTCATATAGCTCATTTTCCTATTGCTACAAACTTAAGATATAAAAGATTACAAAAATTGTTGTTAACCACATGCAATTACGTTCGATTAGTTTCAACAGCGAAATAGCATCTAAAATTATATTGCTACTAACTTTAGTTCAGAAAAGATTTATATTGCTTTTCAGTCTACTCCGTTAATTAATTATTATAATATTGTGTGATGTCCATTTTTAATACATAATCAACGAACATTATGCGGAATCAGGATACCTCAAATACTTAATCTACGGATAATGCGCCGGTTCAGTACTTTACTGTACTGCCAAACGCGACGCATTTTATTTTGGGAGCGGTACTTACGTACCGATGTTGAAAATCATCTGCTCTATATACATACATGAGTATAATATAGCAAGAATATATTTCTTGATATTAATATTGTATTCACTTGTCTCTCTCTAGTTCCAAATAAAAAAGAATATTATTAAATGTATAGTTATCACAAAGTAGATTAATTATTAATTTTTATGAAAACTTCAAAGGATTAAAGAAATTTGATATAGGTCTTCCGGCCCCACCAGGCAGACCTATCTTAATATCGGGAACGAACGAAACGCAGCCGGATGTTGTGGCAATACGATGGGAGAGATCACCAAGTAACGGTGGATCGGCGATCGTCGGATACTTGATCGAACATCGGCGACTGGGCTCTCCTCATTGGATACGAAGCACCTCCGGTCTTTGTGCTTTTCCAGAACTAACTCTCAGTGGTCTTGAGCCAGGATGGCGTTACCAATTTCGAGTCAGAGCACAAAATGCACTCGGACTTTCACAACCAAGCGAGGTCTCCGAACCACTCACAGTTACCTTACAAAGGGCCGCTGTTGCTTGCGCTCCTCATTTCAATCCAGAGCTTAAAGATACGGTTGCACTCGAGAATGAACAGGTACGTAACGGTTATTGTAATCATATAAAACTTAATACATTTGTATTTCTTCAATACAGACTGAATTTGTCGTACAATTCTCTGGTACACCATTGCCAAAAATCTCATGGTTCAAGGACGGTTTCGAGATCTTTAGTAGTAGACGCACCAGAATTATTACGGATAATGGAAAGAGT